GCATCCCGCCCAGCTCCCAGCCTGCTGTGGCCCCAGCCCAGGCGCACCCCCTCTGGGCGCTTGTTTCCGGCCTACCCCAACCCTGTGCCAGGCCCGTGCTCGGGGCGAGGGGGTTGCCCCTGCCCCCTGCAGTCGCCTCTGCCTTGGTGCGCTGGGCGTCCTCCTCTCTGTCTTTCTCTCTTTGGAGGTGGTACTGGGGGTGGCACACGTGGGCAGCGCCCTCCCCACTATCCTCTTGACTTGCTCTCTGAAGGGGTGTGCTGAGTCAGGTGTGGCGTGTTCCCGTGTTTGGTTTGGTTTTGTGGCCACAGTTGGTGCCGGGGGCTTCCTCTTGGCTCTGGCGGGGCTGGGCCGGGCACCGTGTGTGCTACTGGGCATGGACTGGGCTTGGCTGCTTGCAGGGCAACCCCCTGTGCCTGAGCCCTGTCCTCGTGCCCTGTCGCCTGGTTCAGGATCCACCTTTCTGCCTGTGTGCCAGGCCACGGGGGCTGCTGGGGCCTTCGCCGCTCAGTGATGCGTGACGCGTCTGTATGCGGGGGGTGCCCTGGGTTCAGGAAGGTGCCAGCGGTCAGGGACCCCAGCTGACAAGGGCAAAGCCACTGACCTTGGTGGGGCTAGGGGTGGTCCTGCCACCCAGGTTGGTTGGCAGGTCCCTGCACTGCTCGTGCCTGTGGAAGGCTTCTCTGGACTCTTGCCAGGGTCCCGGGTCCCCCTTAACCTGCAGCTGCATTGTGTGGGCGCACCTTTCCTCTTCGATGCCCTCCTGGGACTTGAGGGACAACCTGGGGACCCTCCTCCTGTGGAAGGAGCGTGGGCAGGCCCAGCGCGGAGGTGGCGGGTGCAGAGAGCTCTGCATTGTGACTGGCACAGCCGCTCTGCGCGGCCGCGCCACGTGGGTTCCGGGGGCGTCTAAGCCCTGCTCACAGGCCCTCAGATGGCGGCGGGGATCCGGGAGCGTGACTGGTGAGGGTCCAGTGCCCACATTCTGGTGGCACCAAGGGGCACAGTGTACACGGCTCCTGGGGACACCCTGGGACAATGTCCATGTTCCTGTTGACACTGGCCACGGCGCTAACCGCTGGGCTAACTTTGGGGAAAAGGGTCACCCAAGCTCAGCTCTCGGTACCGCAGGAGCAAAGGCAGGGAAGTACGAGGTGTCCGTGAGCATGGCTGTGAGGCCGTGCTGGTAGTTGACCGTGTGCCTGGCTGTTCTCAGGTTGGGTGCGGGCAGTGGGCAGGGTGTGGGGCAGCGGTGGGAGGGTCGTGTCCACTCCAGCCCTGCGCCTGGGCTCTGGGTGCGTCCATGTGGCGCTGGGCTTGGGGGCTGTGATGATGGGCCACTCAGCCCTGCTGGGCCTCCTGACCACCGCCCTGATGATCTGCCTGGCCCTTGTCAGGGTAGCCCCGCCCCCATTTACTGGGGTCAGCCGGTCATCACGCCCGCCATCTGGCGATTGTAACCCAGCGACCCCCGTTCTGGAGGGGCAGCCCCGCACATGTGCCTCGGCAGGCCCTTGGAGTCAGGCCGCTTGGGGCGGGGTGCCAGGACCGAGCCTGTGGCCATGGTGCCCGAGGGGCCCCCTCCTGTCTGCCCGTGCTCTCGGGCAGGGTGGTGGGGAGGGGTGTGCAGCTTCCGGCAGGGCCCACCCCCCACAACAGGCCACGGCCCGGCGGGGAGCCCCCCTGGCCCCTGGCTGCCCCCTCAGCCTGGCTGCAAAGGGGCCGGTCAAAAGGTCACTGGCCGCTGCTTTATGGCCGCCTGTAGCGCGCTCACGCCCCGGCCCAATAGACAGAGGCCTGTGCTGGGCAGGCAGTGACAGTGTCCAGCACAGGACAAGGGGTGATGGTGTTCAGCCGTGAGGTGGGACAGGCAGGGCTGAGCTGCCCCCAGTGCCTGGCCTCCTCCATCACCTACCCCTTGGGCTGTACGTGGTGGTGGCATTATTGGGGGGCCCTATGGGGGTCCTCCTGGCACCAGCTCTCATTGTCCCTGTGTTTGGGAGGTGGGACGGTCCATGGGGGTTAGTGTTTTCAGCTCCCTAGCGGAGTCTGGCTCTGATGTGCAGGGGTGGAGAGGGGGGGTGTCCTTGTGTTTGCGGGAGCAGCCCAGTGGCCCCCCCGGGAAGGCCGAGGTGCCCTCGGGGTCTGGGCCCCCCGTGAACTCCCGCCCTGCCTGGCCTTGGACCTCTGCAGCCACTCCAGTGCAGTGTGGCTCATGCCTCTGGGAAGTGGGGGTGGACAGGGTCTCAGCTGCCACTGGGCTGTGATGCCCCACAGCTGCCTCTGGCTAGGGTGGGCCTGGCAGCCTGTGCACCGTGCAGGGGGCAATGGACAGGGCCGATCCCCCTGTGACCTGCCAGGCATTGGACTCCCATTGTCTCTGGCAACAGCGTGCCGGTCTCTGGCTGTGCGCAGAGGGCCAGTGGTGGGTGGGACCCCACAGTGGCCTGTCCCTTCTGCTCCTACCCTCTGACCTGTCCCGCAGCCCCCCAAGGGCAGCCTGTGATGGTGTGTGGATCCCCGGCAGGGCCCTCCCTGGTGCTGGACTGCCCTCTGCCCGCCCCAGCTTCTCTGGGCACTGTGCCCCTGCCTCCCGCCAAGGGGAGACTTCCTGGGGAGCTCTGGGAAGCCGGCAGAAGGGGTCTCCCAGGGACCCGCCCACAGCACCCTCTTGTCCGAGGGGCCTTTTGGGAGATGGGTGTGGGTGGCCCAACTGCCCACTTGGCCGCAGAGGAAACGCCACTTCCTCCGGCCCTTCCTCCGGGCCAGTCCGGCTTCTTCCTGCAGGCAGCTGAGCGTGGGGGACAGACGGGTGCTGCGGGGGCAGGAGGCCCCGAAGACACAGGCCTCTCCCGACTCGCAGGCGTGGTGCTGGCTGCCCTGGCTGGGCCTGTTGTGGCGGTTTCTATGGCGAGCAGACAGCCAGCAGGGCAGTCCCGGCCGAGGGGAGGCGCCAGGAAGCCCGGCCCGGCCTGGGGGCGGGGCTAGCCGCCCCGCTTCCTGCCTGGGCAGCGGACTTCGCACACCGCCGCCCGCCACTTGCCCAGGCCCCTGCTGTCCCCTGGCTGCCACAGGGCTTGGGGCCTTGGCAGAGAGACCAGGTCGCGGGACTGGTGATCCCTCTTGGGCTTGCAGCGCCAGCCAGCTGGTGTTTGACCTGAGCCTCACCGCCCCTGCAGAAATGCCCCAGGAAGACCCTCCTGGCTCGGTGGGCCCCTGAGCTGGTTGTGGGGGTGCTCAGGCTCTAGGATGGAGGCACGTGTGCTGCAGCAAGCCAGCTGCAGCCTCCGGCCCACCCCTCGCCCCTGTTCCTGTGAGCGTGCAGGGCCTGTCAGGGAGCAGGGTGGGGGCAGACGCAGTGTGCTTGGGGCCTTAGTGCCCGCTCCCACCTGTGCTCTAGGACCTGGCTGATTCTGCCCCATGTCCACCTGCCCGCCTTTACACCCATGCACGCCCTAGGACATGCATGCTTGTGAGTATGTAGCGTGTATATGTGCATCCTGTGCCCGCCCTTTGGGCATATTGCAGCCAAGAAGGCAGCGCCCTGTCCCAATGCCACCTGCTGCCCTGGGGGGAGGGGGGTACCGGGGAGTCTCTCACTGTGGCCTTGCTGGGGCTGTGGCCCTGGGGCTTGGCTGGGCTGGGGGCGTCTGACCAGACCCTTGGGACAGCTTTCAGGCCAGCCCCTGGCGGTCAGGGCGACCACCTCCCGGCTTGCCATGGGCCCTCTGCAGACAGTGAGCCGGGCGGTGCCATCAGGCCTGCGGCGGGGGGCCTGGTCTTGTTGCTGCTTCCAAGGACTCTGCTCAGACCGCGTAGCAGGCCAGGCAGGTGGACACAGGCTCCGTTGGGGGAAGGTGGTTTCATGGGGCGCCTCTCTTGGTGGTAGAAGTGACGGAAAGGTGACCTACTTAGCTGAGAGGCGAAGGAGCAGCTCACAGCCGCTCTGCCCTCGCCGGGGTCCTGCCCCAAGTTCACCAGGAAGTGGGTTTGACTCAGCCCCACAGGACACAGGGGGCAGCGTAGGGTGGTCTGAGAGGGCCCAGGACCCGTGAGTCAGCAGGAAGGACACAGGAGGGAGCCCCCCAACTCTGCCAGCTCGCACACCTGCGCAGGGGCCCAGGGCTCCACCCCCTGGATCTGTGCAGGGCCGTCCTGGGCGGCCTCTCCCTGTCCTGCTGGCCGAGGAGAGCCCCTGTGCTCTGGCCTCTTTGGGGGAGCTGGAGGGAAGGCCAGGGAAATGGAGCCCATGGGGGCTCAGTGCCCCGAGCTCCCCCAGGACAGGCTAGGGGAAGCTTTGGGGCTGGAGCCACAGGGTTTAGGGGGTCTCCTGTGTGTTCCAAACTCTGCCCCCAGGGTCTGCTGTTGCGAGCGGGGATCTCACGTACATTCCAGGCTACCCTGAGGCGCCCAGCCATGTTCAGGCCCAACTCCCGAAGGAGCACAGGGGGCACTGCAGGGGCGGTGCCGCCACCTGCATTAGTGCTGGCACTGTATGGAAGCCCTATCCTGGCATCAGAGTCTGCCTGGAGTCGGCCCATGGGTACTTATGGCAGCACCTCTCATCTCCCACCCCAGAATGGCCCACACAGAACTGGCGCGTGTGTGGTGTGGGGATGGGCCCAGGTGGGCCAGGCTAGGCCAGCTCTGCTCCTGGGCTACAGAGGACACAGGCGCCTTATGTCCTGTCCCTGCTTGGTGGGCAGGTGACAAATGACCTGTGCTTCCTCCGTCTGCGGGGGCCACATCTCCAGCACCTTCTCCCGTTGGAGAGGACATGGTCACTCCTGGCTCTGCTCGGGTCACCAGGCGACACTTGTGGGTCAGCTGATCTGCAGAGCATCGCGCTCCTGGACACCTCTCCGCACAGGCCCTCCCCAGACCCCCCAGCTGGGGCCGAGTCATCCTGGGTCCCGGTACCTGGGGTCAGCCCTGGCAGTGGCGGCTGTGTGAGGTCGGGGATCTGAGGGCTGCGTCATGACGACCGTGTTCTCTTCCAGGTGCCCTCCGAGCCCCCTGCCTCCATCAGGAAGACAGACGAGGCCCCCGCCCAGCCCCCCACGTCTTCTGAGAAGGACAAGCAGCCCGGCTGGCTGCACAGCTTGGCCAGCCCCTCCAGCAAGGTGCTCCTGGGCCCGGGGCAGGGGCTCCCCCTGGGGGCCACCCATGGGCCTGACGTCGCCCTGTTTCCCCAGAGCCTGGGCTGCACACACCCGCGCCAGCGCCTCTCCGCCTTCCGCCCCTGGTCCCCCGCGGTGTCCTCAAGCGACAAGGAGCTCTCCCCACACCTGCCAGCCCTGATCCGAGACAGGTGAGGCCCGGGGGCTGGCGGCGGCTGTGGGCGGGAGATGGCAGAGGGCGGCCCAGTCACCCCTTGTCCCTGCAGCTTTTACTCCTACAAGAGCTTCGAGACGGGCGTGGCCCCCAATGTGGCACTGGCCCCGCCGGCTCAGCAGAAGGTGGCCAGCAGCCCCGCCTGCGCCACTGTCGCATCCCGAATCCCCGAACCACTTGCCACGTGTATCCAGCCAAGGAAACGGAAGCTGACGGCCGACGCCCCCGGGGCCCCAGACCCACCCATGCCTGCTGGCGCCCCTGAGGAAGACAAGGACTCGGAGGCCGAGGTGGAGGTGGAGAGTCGAGAGGAGTGTGAGTGCGGCCCGTCCCGAGGCGCGGCTGTGCTGGCTGTGCTTGCCCAGGGGGTGGGGGTGGGGGGCGGGGGGGGGGTCTGGGGTGCGCACGCGCTGACGCTGCCCCACCACCTGCAGTCACGTCCTCGCTGTCCTCGCTGTCCTCGCCGTCCTTTACCTCATCCAGCTCCGCCAAGGACCTGAGCTCCCCCGGCGTTCACGCCCCTGCCCCAGCTGGCGTCCCGGAGCCCGCGGCCCCCGGGGACGGGCCTAGCGGGGGGCTGGAGGCGGAGCTGGAGCACCTGCGGCTGGCCCTGGAGGGCGGCCTGGACAGCCGGGAGGCCAAAGAGAAGTTTCTGCACGAGGTGGTGCGCATGCGCGTGAAGCAGGAGGAGCGGCTCAGCGCGGCACTGCAGGCCAAGCGCAGCCTGCACCAGGTGGGTCCGCGGGTGGCGGGGCGACCCCCGCCCCGACGCCCACCCCTGACCGCGCCCCGCCCGCTCGCCCAGGAGCTGGAGTTCCTGCGCGTGGCCAAGAAAGAGAAGCTGCGGGAGGCCACGGAGGCCAAGCGTAACCTGCGGAAGGAGATCGAGCGTCTGCGGGCCGAGAACGAGAAGAAGATGAAGGAGGCGAACGAGGCGCGGCAGCGGCTGCGGCGAGAGCTGGAGCAGGCGCGGCAGGGCCGGGGGTGCGAGCAGGGCTGCGAGGCCGGCCGCCTGCGCGCCAAGTACTCGGCCCAGGTAGGTAGCGGCGGCCGCGGGGGCGGGCCAACCCGGCGCGCGCTGACCCGCCGCCGCCCCCTGTCCCCCTGTCCGGCCGCGCAGATCGAGGACCTGCAGGTGAAGCTGCAGCAGGCAGAGGCCGACCGCGAGCAGCTCCGGGCCGACCTGCTGCGTGAGCGCGAGGCGCGGGAGCACCTGGAGAAGGTGGTCAAGGAGCTGCAGGAGCAGTTGTGGCCGCGGCCGCGGGAGCCGGGCGGCGAGAGCGCGGGGCTGGAGCCCTGAGCGTGCGGACCGCCCACTCACTCATAAGCTACGCGGCGCAGGGGACCCCCGGGTGCACCCCCGACCCCCGCGGCCGCCCGGGACAGCGGCTTTTTCTCCAGAGTCTATTTTTTCAGCGACAAGGGCCGGGGTCCCTGTGCAGCCGCCGGGAGAGGGGGCCCGCCTGCCCCCGCGGGGGAGCCGAGGGGACCCCGCGCCTGGCCCCCTCCTCGCCCGCCCGCCCGCCGCAGCTCCGAGCAGAACGGCATCATTTCACTTTTCCTTTCGTTGGTTTGTTCATTTAAATGTCTATTTAGAACTGCACTTTGTCAAAACTCTCCCCTTTTTACTCCCCGGTTAACTGAGGTTTCTACTCAGACATCACGTTGTGGAAGATTCTCGAGCAGCTCCGCCCTCAGTGCTCGCGTGTTGGGACCCCCTGGTGCTTGGTTGAACAAGGGAATCACAAGAAAACGAAAATGCAAAAACTGACCTTGGGGGGTAGTTCTGTGCCTTCCAGCATCTTGTACAGCGATCCTGACTCATGTCTTTTTTTACCCAAAATACGTCTTCAGTAGCGGTCAAATCTGCCCTATCAATACGTTACCTGCATTTATTCCAAATAATCTCGTTTACTCTCGACTGTTTATGCAAATTGTATAAGGTTTCTTACGCCCAAGCTTGAAGATTGATTTCCCAGCAGACGAGAGGCGGCCCCGACATCATGGCATTCATACACATGCGGAAAGGTGGAGCCGGGTCTGGGCCCGCCCGCAGGGCCGCCTCGGTTTAAGGGGGGGACGGTGGTGCCAGCCCCCCGAAAGTGCAATGCAAAAGGGACGTCGTGCGCAGCGTTTGTTTGGACTTGTTTTGCTTTTGTTTTCTGCAGTTTCTGGTGTGTGTGCATGGAGCTGTACCCCGCCCTGCCCCCGGGCATTATCACCGTGTCCGCAGCTCTGCTGGTCTCGCACCTGAGGCCCCTGGCGGCCCTGGCCTCCCCGAAGCTGCTGCTGGCAGCCAGACCGCACGTTGTTTGCTTCAGGGAGTGAGGAGGGTTCCGAGTTGTGTGCGGGGCACCTGCCTGGCCCCCAGTGTTGGGAGAGCTGGAGCCCCCCACCCCCTTCTCAAAGGTCCTCCAGGCGGCCAGGACCTGGCGGGGCGGGGACAGACACGGCGCCCCACCCCCACCCCCACCCCGTTCACCAGCAGCTCAGGTGCCGCCTTCAGGGAGGCGGCCTGGGCGAGGCTGGCAGGCGCGGGCACCCAGGCCTCTCCCACCAGGGCCAAGTCCACGGGCAGGGCCCGCTCAGGACATGCCCGGTGCCTGCCACTGAACCCCCGTGCCCAGCCCCCCAGCGGCCATGGCGTCGCCAAGTGCCCCGGCCCCGTTTTTGCCTGCCGAAGGAGAGAACCAACAGCAATAACGCATCTACGAGCAGCTAACTCACGCCTGCCGCTTGGCTGCACACGTGGCCGGGGTGAGCGCGGACGTGTACATACCCCACACTCTTGTACATACGTGTACATGTGCTGGTCCTGTTCCAGAACTTTCCTACCTGGTTGTCGGAGTTGTCTTATTTTCTGGGGTGTTTTCACCTGAGGGAGGCTGTGCTCTGCCCCGCCCCCGTGCTGCGGCGCCCAGGTCAGACCCACTTTGTGTTCCATTAAGGAAAAGGCCTTGGCCCGCCCGAGCGCCCGCCTCCGTCTGTCCGTCCCTCCTTCGCTGCTGCTAATGACAATATGACTTACTCTACTATCCGAAGACTATTTTTATGTAATTAATGTATGCTTTCTTGTTTATAAATGCCTGATTTAAAAAGAAGAGCTTGGCATATTTCTCTCACCGTGTGCCCTTGGGCCTGGCAGCCCACCCCGTGCCGTTGTACAATAAAGGACTTGGAGAGAACGAGCGGGCCGCGAGGGGCCAGCCCAGGTGGCGGTTGGTGGAAGTGGGTGAGTGAGCGTGTGCTCCAACTCCCAGAGCTGCCCTAGACTTCATCCCAGGGAAACCCAAATTGGAGAGTTCTGGGCATCCCGGATGTGGCGGAAGGACGGGTTGGGGGAGCTCTGGGCTCTGCCCAACCCTTTGGCCTCCACACAGTGCCCGTGGTTGGGAGGGCACTGGAAGGAAGCGGAAGCTCCCCCACCCCCTGTTCAGTGGCTGCTGGGTCAGTGCCGTAGCCCCTCCCACCACCTCTGGGGGCCCATAGCCTCCCTGGAATCCCTCCCGCCCTGCACACAGCCAGGTGAGGGCACGGGAAGGGCTTGGGCTGTGACCTGGGGCTGTGGCCATCTGTGCCCCAGTCCTGCCAGGCCTAGGGGCTGCATAGCCAGGACCCCCACTCTGGAGCAGGTGGCCCCGCTGCAGGGGGTGGGCCTGGCTTCTCAGGCGCCCGGGGTGCACAGGTGTCCAGCCAGCTGGACTCGGCCCCGGCTCCTTTCCTGCCGGCAGCCTGGCCCGGCCCCGTGGCTCTCCTGCTGCCACGGAGGCCTGTTCTGGAAAGTTCCAGAAAGGAAACAACCAGGGTCAGGCTTGGGGTGGGCCCCTCAGAGGACAGGAGACCCAGGCAGGGGAGAGGGTGGGTCCACGCGCTGCCCCTACCCAGAGGGGTGCAGAGCTTTCCTCCATGGCCCCGCTGGGCTGGCAGGCAGATAACGGGCAGGGGGCCCATCAGGCCCATGTCCATGGGCTTGTGGCCAAGACAATCCACAGCAGGCCGGATGTGGGCACAGGTGGGGTCAGGGCAAGGCCCAGGACTGCCCCTGGGGAGGCAGGGTCTGCGTGCACGTATGTTTAGTGCAGGTGTGTGGAATGGATATGCAGAGTGTCCATTGGGGCTGCATGTGTGGAGAACATGCATGTCAAGAGTACATGTGTTGGTGCACATGTATGCGAGGGAACATGCGTGTGTGAGGGCAGGCGCAGTAGGCAGCGGCAAGGGAGTCAGCCCTGCTCCCCTGAGCTCTGGAATCGCAGCTTCCGCGGATGTTTCTGCAGGGTCAGCCCTGTCCCCTCTGTCTTGACACTCCACTTGGGGTGTGGGGGGGAGGGGTCCAGGGGGAAGTTGCCCCACAGCCTCACAGCCCCAGTTAACCCTTCCCCACCCACCCTCACTGGGCATCGCTTTTTTTGGCCTGAGCTGAGGCCCTTATCCCAGGTGACCAGACCTCCCCAATGTTTAGAAGGGCTGCCCCACACTCTGAGAATGGCCCTCAGGATGGACCCATCACACCCCTAGAGAGCGCTCACGCCAGCTATACAGTCCCCTGGCCTGTCCCCACACACTGCAGGCTGACCCTCCTCACTGTCGGGGCACTGCCCCCCAAGCAGGATCTCCAGCTACCATGGGGGTATCACCTACATTACTGGAAAGGGTGGCTGGGGGCCACGGGCAGGGCCGGTCCCTCACAGTCCATTTCAGGAGGCCCTGGAGACACTCATGAGCACCCTTGTCCTGAGTCCCTGTCTTCAGGGAGGGGGGCCTGCTCTAAAGCCCCCACCGGGATCCAGGGGTATGTCAGCCTGGGGTGCTGCCGCCGTCGGGCTGGCCTCAGCCCCTCACACAAGATGGAGCCTAGAAGGGGCTGAGCCCAAGAGCAGCCCCTAGTCAGCCCGAGCCCAGGGATAGTTAGGGGCGGCATATTAGCCAGCCTGTGTGTCTGTCTGTGCCTCTGGGCCCCCAGGCTGCCTGCAGAGTTTGACCATGACAGTGGCTCTGCATTTCGCCCTGACATCACTGCTGGCAGAGTGCTCCAGGCCAGGAAAAAGAGGGGAAACTGAGGCTTGAACTGAGGAACTGGTTGGAGCTGCAGAGCCTGACCCCCAAGGCTGATGGCCCTGGGACCAGAGCAATTGGATGCCCTCCAGGACAGGTCCAGTGACCTTCCCAAGATCCCAGCAGATGTGCATCTCAGAGAAGGACTGAGTGTTGGCTCGTGCAGCCTGCGGTGCCCCCAGCACTCCTGGCCTTGTCTGAGAACTCACTCACAGAGTAGGAGAGCCTACTAGGAGCCAATTCCATCTCTCCCTCCCCCTCCACGGCCATGTGGGCCCAGAACCCCCGCCCAGCCCTTATGACACCTCCTGCTCACAGCCCCGGTGTGTGGCTCGGGTGGGCGGCGGGCCTGGACAATGAGCTACAAGCAGGGACTTTGTAAGGATGTCAGGACGCCGTTCATTTCACTCCTGCTCAAGGTGCCTGGTGCACCCTGGGGTGGGCACTGGCAAGCAAGCATAGCCCGGGCACACCCGGCCCCTGAGGCGGTGTGGGGAGGAGGTGGGTGGCAGCTGGGTCCGGGACAGGGGACCAGAGAGCCCAGGTGGGGCCATGGGGCGGGGCCCAGCGGTGGAGCTTTGGGGTCCCTGGGGGCGGTGGGACAGTGGAGCCCCTGGGAGGACCGTGGACCCTGTGATGAAGGGCACTGTGGGCCCCTCAGGCTGGACGGTCAAGCCCGTCCTCCTGAGAAGCACTCAGGAGCCTCTGAGGGGGCGTCTGGGGGGGACCCTGCTGCCCCTCTGGTGCAGAAACAAGGAGGTGCTGGAAGGCGGGGGGCAGCGTGTGGCCGAGGAACGGAGGGCTGGTCACATCCTCCACCTTGATGACGTACTCGCCTAGGGAGAAAGCTCTGGTCAGCCCTGTGGGACGGCTGCTCCCCCCAACACCAGGCCCACAAGCCCCACCCGGGCCAGGGCAGGACTGGGGGCGAACTGGGCTGTGGAAGGCTGAGCCCTAGGAGACACCCCCCACCCCGTGGCTGAACTTGGCCCAGCCTGGGGGGCGCTGGCGCCGGCACGGGGGGGGGGGGGGCGATGGCATGGGGGCTGGGGCCTCTGCGTGGGCACAGGGGTGGGGCTGGGGCTCTGCTGGTGGGGGCCAGGGACAGCGGGGTGAAGTAGGGCGAAGGGAAAAGCACTTTTCTCCTCAGTCACAAACTGTCTGCAGAGCCTGAAAGTTGGAGAGGCCGTAAAAAAGAAAATAAGAAATAACAAAAGTGCAGTTGCCACGGAAACCGCCTCCCGCCGCCGGCGGGCTGGCACGGGAGCCTGGAAAATGCTCCCGCGGCCCCGCGCTCCGCCAGGAATGTGGCCGCGGCCTCGAGGGCCAGGCGGCTCGGCTGGAGAGAACATTCCAGCGCGTCTGCAAAACAGGCCTCGGCCCGAGGGCCGCGTGCGCGGGGCGCGGGCACATTCCTGCCGCCACCGGCCCCGTGTCCACCCGCCTCGGCCACCATGGCACTCAGGAACGCCCCCTGGTGCCTGGGAAGGCTGGGAGAGAGGCAGGGTGAGGGGATGCGAGCCCTCGGCCTCCAGGGGTCCAGTTCCTCCCCCCCACCCCCCGCCACCCGGTACCGGTGCCTGCTCATCCCGCTCTGGGGGCCAGGCCGTTGGGCCCCACCAAGCCTCATCAGGCACTGGGGACAAAGGAGGTGCCCCCGCCCTGGGTCCAACCCCCTACCTGGGAGCACTGCTGGTCCAGCTGAGGTGCCCACGTCCAGCCTGGGGAGGAAGGGGCGTGGTGGGGACCCTCGCACCACCTCTAGGGGCCAAGCTTCTGGTGGCCGGGCGTAAGAGCCTTAGCACTGGAGTCCCTCCAGCCAGCAGGGAGGAGGGGTCCGGAGTGCCCCGTGCAGGGGGTGGGGCCCCAGTTCTGTCCCATCGTCGATGCACATCTCCAGGCTCCTCTCAGGTGCTGGCCAGAGGCTCAAGCAACCCTGGGCATGGCCTGAGGGGTCTGTCCAGTCCCCTGGGGGACACCCCAGGACACAGGGCGCCCGAGGCAGCTACGCCCCTTCCCTGGACTGGGCACACAGGTGCCTCGGAACCGCCTGCCACTGAGGGACAGTGAGGACATCACGGGAGCTCGGGCCTGGCCCTCCCTTGCTGCCTTAGATGTCCTGAGCCTCGACCTCTCAGTGTCCACTACCCAGATGTCCAGGCATGCCTTGGCTCCAGAGTGGGCTCTGCCAGGCCAGCGATAGCCTGCAGGGAAGGGTGTCCGCGCGGGTCAGCTCGGGCGGGAGGGAAGTGGCAGGGGTGACAGAAGAAGTTTCCAGCTCAGCAGAGCAGGGGTCCCGCCCCCACCCTCCTCAGTGTCCCTCGGAAGGGGGCCGGGTCCCGAGGGCGCCTCAATGTCTAGGGAGGATCCTGAGCCCGGCCTGTGCGGGAGCGGGCCAAGGCGCCGAGCACTGAGCTGCCGGTTCTGATTCACAAGCCCGGCTGGGCCGTGGGGGCGGGCGCCCTGGAAACGCTGTGGGGGGGGGGGGGGCGCAGCCTCCAGTGTTCCCGCGCCCACAGCCTGACGTCACCCGCAGCTGTGCCGCCACGCCCGCCCCCTCCCGCACGGCCCTGCTCCTGGGGGTCTCCCCCACCCTGTGGGGAGCGGCAGGGGGGTCCACCCAGCCCCAGATGCCGGAGACGGACCCCTGTCCTACCAGGTGCATCCCGGGGCTGTGCTCGGGGGGTCCTGTCCTGCCACCTTCTGGAAGAGAGGGGCGCTGAGAGGCGGTCCCAGGGCCGCCCCCCAGCCCGAGGTCTCCTGCCTACCTCAGGGGGGCTGTGGAAGAACGGCACAGGGTGGTGCCCGGCTGGGGGGGGGCCCAGGCGGAGGTGGTTGAATTGGGCACAGCCGTGCCGTGCCCGCTGGCAGTGCCGTGTTTCTGCTGGTGGGGGGCACAAGGGGGTTTCCAGAGAATGAGCACGAAGGCCCCGTGGCTCCCAGGCAAGGCTGGTGGGCCTCCTGCTCGGGCCCTGGAGCCCAGGTCGTGGCCCCCAGGAGGCTCCCAGCTGAGGCTGAGGTAACTGAGGTCCCACCACCCTGCCTTGTCCCTCACAGGGGTCCAGCTGTGTCAGGAGATGGTGACCAGGCCATTGAGGTTCTCCAGGGCATGCCCACACCCAGGGCCCGTGTCCTCCCCACTGGCTGAGCCCTGCCCCACGGGCTTGCTCCTGCAGTGTCCTCACACCAGATCCTGGAGGTCCAAAGGCAGTGCCACTGTCCCCACATGTCCCTGGAGCACCGTCAGTTCATCCGCACCCCCACCCCGTGGGCTCTGGGGCACCTGGAGTTCCAGCCAGGCTCCTGCAGCAGGCGCCAGCCCTCAGTGTCCCCAGCTGCCCAAGGCCTCTTCTGCCTGATGTCACCTGCATAGGACGAGCAGGGACAGGGCAAAAGCCCATCCCAGCCCCACGGGAGGTGCGATTCGAGGGGACGGCCGCTGCATGAGAGCCTCAGAGGTGACCGCCAGCAGCCGCAGAGTCGGTTCTTGTGCAGGGAGATGTGGCAGGCGGAAGACATGCATGCACACAGCGCACGTGCAACATACGTGCACGCAGCCCACAGCACATGCAAACACACCTGCACAAAGCAACACGACACGATGTGCACACACATGCACACACGCGTGAGCAGCAGCCCAGGAGCCAGGTCAAGCGTTGGCTGAGCTCTCGCAGCTGCGTGCTGCGTCCAGACCCCCTGACCCTGCGCAACGCTGCTGCGCCGCCTGTGGGGGGCGCCATTCCCGGTTCCCAGCCGGGACAAAGAGCCCCAGCACGCGCGGCTCCCACTGGCTCCTTCCTGCCTGGGTCCACAGCACGGGGCGGGGCGCTGGCAGGGCGCCAGGAGCAGCACTAAATTGGGGTTCCTGACGCCCCCGCCCCTCCCGCAGCAGCTGCCTGCGCCTGCTTGGCTGAGCAGGGCCAGGGAGGGCTCCTGCTGGTGCGCGCCCGAAGGCAGCCGGGGGTCCCTCTGCCCTGTCTCCTGGGCCCCCGCTGGGCCTGGCCGGGCTCTGGGCCAGCGCATGCAGCTGTCCGGGCGGGCCAGCAACCCACGCTCGCCATCCGCCTGTGGGGTGCATACATCTGCCCAGCACAGGCCCTGCCGCTCCCCTTGGACAGGGCCCCTCCGCTGGGCCCTGGAACCTGTCCCCAGTGGGACACAGAGACTCGCCGAGACTCCACAGAGCCCAGGAGGATAGGCCTGGGTGAAGGCCCATGGCAGGACCCACCACCCGGCTCCCGGCCCCTCCCGCTGCCCTGCGGCTGGGCCAATACGCAGGACACGGTCAGCCTTCCCACAGGGCCTGGCCCCGAGGGAAGCCCCATGCAGCCGGGCCTGGAGAACGGGCTGGGCAGAGGCAGCCGAGCACAGCGTGGCTGCAGGAGGCCCGGATCGAGCGCCTGCTGCCCACTGAGCGCCAGGCCTGGGGCTAGAGTGGCCAGACTTCGCGGAGAGCACTTGCCTGGGCCCCGCGCGGGGTCCCTGAGCTCCACCAGTGGCAATCTCCGGCACCGCAGAGGTGACCCCCAAAACCAACCAAAAGACCCCTAAAACTCCCATACCTGCCCCACTGCAACCAGCCAGAGAGGGTCAGCTCAGGAACCTTCCCCCAAACCCCCACCCTGGAACCTTCTGGAAATTTCCCACACTTGACTGGCAAGATGAGGAGGCATCAGGGAGGGGCGAGTGGCCCTGGCCGCAGACTCCAGCTGGCGCCCCGGGAGTGGGGGCGTCCTCCCAGGCAGTCCCAGGTGGCCTGTCAGGCACCCAGACCCACAGATTACTGGGTGGTGGGTGCCCGAAACTGGGACACACCCCAGGTCCGGAGGCAAAGGACAACGCTGTTTGGGGCCCTCTGGGGTCACCACTGGCCAGCAGCGGCCCTGGGGGTCTGGATGAGCATGTCTGGGGGGCCTCCGTCTGGCAGGGCTGGCGCCCTTACCACCTTCCTGGCAGGGGCTACCGGGCCTTAGGCGTCCCGCCCAGCACACTCTTGGTCAGCTCACGGAACCAGCATCGGCACCATGGCCCACAGGAAGGCACGAACCACCTGGGAGCCCCCAGCCACTGACAAGACCATGAGCACCAGGAACAGTGATGGCCCACCCGTCACCCACTCGGAGCAGCACACAGAGGGTGCTACTCACCAGGCCTCCCTGCCCTCCCTAAAGGGACCAGAGGGGTGCACAGAGGTCTCTGGCTTGGCCGGTCCAAGAAACCAGGCTACGGACTCTCGTCAGGTGTCACCTCATTCCCTCGCCGCCAGGGCGTGGGGCTCCTGGACAGGGCATCTGCCCCCACCACTGCCCCATCCTCTACTCACCCAGCAGGGGGCAGGGGGTGCTCCCCTGGCGGCTGCCCAAGGCCAGTGCTGGGGGCAGGTCCTCCTGGTCAGTGCTGGGCTCTGGGTCCCCAGCGGCTGGGCTCCCCAGAGGGTAGGGGATGCACTGGAACCCGCTGTGGGGAGGGGCTGCTGGGGGCACAGGGAGCCGACCCAGAGGGGGGCCACGGGGCGAGGCAGGGCAGGGCCACGGGAGGAGCTTGCACTGCACTCACAAGGGGGTCTGGATGAGCGTGTCCAGGGGGTCTCCGTGCACTCTGAAGAAGCTGACCGTGGAGTAGGCCGGGAGCTGCACGTACCTGACGCCGGCCGAGACCCTCAGAAGCCGCCCATCCTCACCTGCGGCAGAGCAGGGCCTCAGGGCCGCCCCCCTTCCTGGGCACCCACTGGGGGCAGGACATAGTGCCCCCAACCAGGGCAGGCGGAGGGCACAGGCAGCCCTGGACCCTGGAGGTCGGGTGGGTTGTTTCCACATTCCAGTCTACGGCCACACCAGGGCCCTTGGGGATCACAGACCATGGGGGCGGGGGGATCCCCTGGGGCAGGTGGGGGCAAGGCCAGCAACCTGCCCGCTGTACAGTCGCTCAGGGACCTCTTGCAGCTGCCCGCATGGAGCAAGGGAGGCCACTGTGGCCAGAGCAGGCTCAGCAAGTGTGCTCACACCAGCACAAGGCTCCTCCATGGGCTCATGCACAATGCTCATCCATGGGCTCACATGTTGTAGTGCTCATCCCCACATGTGTTTACTCACTCATGCTCAAGCATGCTCACACATATCCACATCCCGCCCAGGTGCCTCTATGACAGTGCTCACACACAAAGGCACATGCATGTACACGAACACTCCCATGTGGATAGCATGCAGGCACACAGGCACACATGCATGTATACAGACACTCCGTGGCGGCCTCAGTTGGTGGGTCCCCACAGGGTCTCGCCTGCACCCTCTGAGCCCCGTGGGCCCTGCTCACCCCCAGCGGTGTCCCCGCTGTTCTGCTGCAACTGGACTTGCAGCGAGAAGGTGGCATCCGGGCGCAGGGTCAGCAGCCTGGGGCCCAGCACCACCATCCTGACGGCTTGTTCTGTGGGAAGAAAGTGTCTCTGGGGGTCATGGCCCCCATAGTGGGTCACGGGGACAGGGAGCACGCAGCCTGGAGCATGGGGAACCTCTGGCCCTGACTCCGGGGCAGGGAGCCGAGCACTGAATCTGAGGGTGAGCAGCGCCCCACCCTGCTTGGGACTTCACAGCTGCCTGCCCCGTCCGGCTCTTCCTCCCTCCTGAATCCCGAGTGGGCAGCTCCACCCCCATCTCTAACAGGGCGGGGGCAGGACAGGGGCGTCTGCAGGCAGGTTCTCACTTACCCACCGGGTGCCCGTTGACCCACTGGCCATGGTAGGTGAGCCCTGAGCAATGGGCCAGGCTGCCCAGGCCACTGAGGACTCCGCAGTACCACTGGCCCTGCGAGACGAGGGGTGTCAGTCTGGGGGCCCGACCCGCTGCCCACACTCTGCTGTGCCCAGTTCTCTGGGGAGGTGGTGGCTGTGGCCCTCTAGGGTGCCAGGCACCCCCACTCTGCTGTCTGGCTTGGCGGGGACAGTGGTGTGGGAAGGTCCCTGCGCCCGGGCCGGCTGTGCCCAGCTCAGGGTCCAGGACAGGGTGGCCCCTGGGCACTCAAGAGCCCGGAGACAGACCTTGGCCTGGAACCAAGTGTGCGGGGACGGGGGACAGCTCCCAGCCGCGGTCGCGGCTGGGAGCAGAGCGCAGGCCACAGTGACCCCCACTTCGGGGCGCAAAACCCTGAGAGCCAGTAGCTGTGGGCACAGGATTTGAGGGTGGCCAGACCAGCACGCTGGTCACCAGGGAACCAGAGACGTGGGGAGGCGGCAGCCAGGCCCCGCCCACCACAGAGTGACCCCGCCCACAACCCATCTCTCACAAGGCGGCCCCGCCCACAGCCCCGCCCCGGGGGCGGTGCCGACATCCCACGAGCCGCGGGGCTGCGCTGCCCCCTGGTGGCGGTCGAGGGCACCAACGCGGGGCCCAGACTGCTGCTGCTGGGGCCCGGGGACCGCGGCTGGTCTGGGACCCGGGAAGTTTAGGGTCCCTGAGCAAAGCCTGGCGGCCCCGTGAGCCCTAGTCGTGCGCGGAGGAACCCGCAGCCTCTTTGGGGCTGGCCCTGGAGCCCTGACGCAGGACACAGCTGCCCAGTGGCTACAGTCCCCCAGAAAGAGCTGGCCTGCAGTCCTGGGAAGTGACGAGGGACAGAGCCAGCTCAGTTCCTAAGGACCCGGTTCTGCCCAGCGTCCCCGCGGGATACGACTCTGGCCGCCCCCACCCCCTCACACACACAGAACGCATAGCTGGGGGAGGGGGATGCCCCCAGTCAGGCGTGTTGGGGACCCGAGAAGCTGCTGCTGTCAGAGCGGGGTGCAGGGCTCAGCAGGGCCTGAAGCCAGGGTTCGTCCCTGCGAGGTCCCCAGTACCTGATAGACGGAGCCGTCGGCACAGCGGAGCATCCCGTGGCCCTGCTGCTGGTCCCTGACCCAGTCTCCTTCGTAGCTGTCACCATTCCTGCGGGACCCGAGCTGCTGGGGCCAGCCCATTGCCCTCCTGCCCACAAGCACCCCAGGGAGAAGGGGGGCTGTCGAGGGTGCCCCCAACCTTGGAGAGCAGATTCAGGCCCCTCCTCCTGAGAAACACTAAGGCTCCCCCACTGGGGCAGAGTCTCCCCATGAGGCCCACAGACGCAGTGGTGAACGGGAGGGTCTCACTCACTGGAAGGCCATGTGCCCCCGGCCATGCCGTCTGTTCTCATGGAAGGACCCGCGGTACAGCTGTCCCAGCGAGTCCTGCAGGAGGCCCAGTCCTGGAGGGCCGGGGTCCGGTCACAACTGTGCCCCAACCCCCTGCTATGGGGCACCCCTGTGTTGAAGCCAAGCATGGGTGGGCTGGACCGGCGGGTGGGAGCCCGCAGGGCACCCTCTCGGTCCTGTGCTGGGAAATGGGACCCCGACAGCTGACAGGGGACTCCCAGGCTTGGAATGCGGTGTGAGCCCCCTTACCTTCGCGCATGCCGTGGCGGAACTCCCCTTCATACCATCCGCCCGCTCTGTAGGTGATGCTGCCGCGCCCATGAGGCTCCCCCAGCACAAAGTGGCCCGAGTAAGTGTTCCCTGGGAACAGGCCATGCAGGCCTGAGTCCCGAGAGCTGACCAGCAGCTGGTCTGGGGTTCTGGGGACAGCCCTGGGCAGCAGGTGGGGTCACGGAGCCTGCTGTCCTGGAAAGAAGGTGCTGGTGGAAGGGCCCAGAGGACTATGTCCAGGAAAGACCGGCTGGGCTGAGTGCCCCTGCCCGCAGCAGTGGTGGCGAGGAGCACAGAGGTCCCCCCAGCTAACCTGAGGCGGCCCAGTGCCGGCGGCCTTCTCCCGAGATCTCTCCCGCTTCAAAGTCGCCTTCGTAGTAACTCCCGTCTTTGAACAGCAGCTTCCCGCGGCCTGTCACAAGAGTCCAGGCATGGGCGACCGGGTAGCAGGGGCTGCCGCTCGGCTATGCCTCAGCAATCCTGGGACACCATGATGACAACAATGTCTCCCCGATTGCCTGCTGCGTCTCGGTGCCGCTGTCTCGGCCGCAGACCAGCACTGGGACCATTCCCAGCCCCAGACAGCTCTGGGGACACCCCAGTGCGCGCCCCGCCCGTTGGGCCCGGGAGGGCGTGGGGAGGATTGGCCCCACCTCCGGGCTCGGGCAGCGGGTCTGACCGCCGGGCACAGGACACGGCGCGGGGTCTCCTGGGCCTGCGTTGTCCGTGGGGAAATACCAACTCGGTCTCACCGAGACGGGTCAAGCTGGGCCCCCTCCAGCCCCCAGGATCATGTTTACCGTGTTTCTTTCCACCTTTCCATTCTCCCTCGTATCGGAAGAAAGAGTTCGGGTACACGTAGACGCCGTAGCCTGCAGATTGAGGCGGGTGGTGTGGCACCCGGGGCGGGGTCTGGGGCGGGGGCCGAGGCTGAGGGGGCACCACGGGCCCGAGAGAGGCGACCCCTGTAGCCGGCCGCCGCCCTGAGACCCGCCGGCGCAGAGCCGCGTTCCGGGGAGGGGGTGGGCGTCCGGAGGGGCGGGCCCCCGACTCGGGAACAGCGCCTGCTAACCGGGAGCCGCCTCCACCCTGACCGCATGGCGGGACCCCGATAAGCCTCCTGCAGCGCCGGGTCGCAGCCCCCGCGGCCGGCCGAGCCGTTACCGTCCCGCGGCGGCCGGTCCTGCGGCTCCGGGCGCTGCCGCTTGGAGCTCGGGTCTCCGGAGCTGGCGGCGGCCATCTTGCCGCTAGCGGTTCCCTTAGCAACCCCAAGCCCCTCGACTATTGGCTCTCCGTCTCCAAGGGGCGTGGCTTCGTCATCCAATGGGTGATCGCAATCTCCGGAGCGGAACCGTCCGGGCGCGGAGCCAGGAGGAGCAATGCGCTTGCGCGGGGGGCGCACTTCCGCCGTGACGCTCTTCCGCCGACCGTCCCGTTCCCCCCCCCCCAACGGCCTAGGCGCCAGCGCCGGAAGCGGAAATGGTTGGAAGCCTGCGCCCTGCCCCGCCGGCCATCTTGGGCGCCCGGAGGCGGCGCCGCGCAGGACTGAGCGGAAGTGCCGTGTGCAGCTTCGCGACGAGCCGAGCCCGGCGCGGCCGCCTGTCCGCGTCCTGCTGCCCGCGGCCTCGAGCCCGCGCTGGGCCGCAGCGGAGCCGCCAGGTGCGGGCGGGGCGGGGCAGGGCGGCCTACGGCGGAGGCCCCGGGCCCAGCTCGGAGCCGCGGGGCCGACCGGGCCCAGCTCGGAACCGCGGGGCCGACCGAGCCCAGCTCGGAACCGCGGGGCCGACCGGGCCCAGCTCGGAGCCGCGGGGCCGACCGGACCCAGCTCGGAACCGCGGGCTGACCGGGCCGTGGTCGGAACCGCGAGGCTGACGGGGCTCAGCTCGGAGCCGCGGGGCTGACCGGGCCGGGGTCGGAACCGCGGGGCTGACCGGGCCGAGGCCGGAACCGCGGGGCCCACCGGGCCGAGCCGGTTCCGGTAGAGGAGACCCGGAGGGGCCTTGCCCGGCCGTCCCGGGTGCGATGTGCGGGGGTCCGCCCCTGTCGTGCCGGTCAGATGTCCGGGTGCGGCCCGGCCGTGCCACTCCCCCGGCGCAAAGGGCACCAGTGCCCGCCGGCCCGGACGGCGCTGCCCGGAGTTCGGGGCCGGCCCGTGACGTGGCCGGGCAGCTCCGAGGATGCTGCGCCCCGAGCAGGTCCCCGGTGCCCGGCCATCTGCCTCCGCACGGGTGCCTGGGGGCGCCGATTTGGTCCCCGGGGCAGGGGGGTGGCCAGTCTGACCGTCCCGCTGGCCTGAGCTCTCGCGCTCGTCTTTGCAGGTGCAGAATGTCGGAGGGAGACAGTGTTGGCGACTCGGTGCACGGGAAGCCCTCGGTGGTGTACAGGTTCTTCACGCGGCTCGGACAGGTCAGCGCCTGTATGGGGGTGTGGTCCTTCCTGGTGCTTTTGCACTGCACCTGGCCTCTGGGAAGAGGCAGAAGACCCTGTACTCGCAGTTGGGGGGCGGGGGTGGACGCGTGTCTGGCCCCACGCAAGGGCTGTGCTGAGTCTGGCGGCCTGCAGGGCCTGGACACAAGCCAGCACTGGGTTCTGGCCTCACTGAGCAGCAGCTGCTTCTGGTTTGTTCAGAAATAAAAGTGTTGAATTTTCTGATTGCAAAAGAAGCGTCTGCATGGAAACCTCGTGTGCTCTGCATGCAGGAGGCCTGGGCCTGCGCCACAGGTCCGAGTGTTTGTAGAGCACGCGTAACTCCAGAAGTTGTGACACTTGTGTGTGTGCACACCGGGGAGGGTTTGGGCCACACTAGTGCTTAGGGCCACCTGGGGGATTGGTCGCTAGCTGGAAGTTCTGTGATTTCTGTGCTTGCTCTGTAGCTCCTTAGGGATGCTTGGGGTTTTCTTGGTTAAACAGCGAATAACTTCCCGCCAGAAGTATGGGCGGCTGCTCATCTGCTTGTCCCTTAGCTGAGTGTGGGCAGCTTCTGGCTCCAGCCTGCCGTTACGCAGAGCCCTGCGCTCCTTGGTGGTCGTGTCTGCATGGCCCTGTTGTGCTCGCTGGGTGGTGCTGCCCAGGGGCTGGGCTGCACTCGCTCGCCTCACACTCAAGACGCTTGCATTCACACGTTCTCACACTTAACGTAGCTCCCACGCAGTTACACAGACGTTCTCGTACTCAAGACTCACTTCACTTGTACACCGGCATGCAACACACTACACACGCTCACGATCTTTCTCTCTCCCTCTAGGTCTATCAGTCCTGGCTGGACAAGTCGACGCCTTACACAGCCGTGCGATGGGTGGTCACACTGGGCCTCAGCTTCGTGTACATGATCCGAGTCTACCTGCTGCAGGTGGGCATGGGGCATGGCTGTTGGGAGCTGACGGCAGAGCCCGCCTTGGTCGGCCAGTGCCCTTCCGTCGCCGCCCACCCCGCAGCTCACTATCGCTCACAGCTGGGCCCGGCTTCTGCCCAGGCTCGGCTTGGAGTTTCTAACCCTATTCTTGGGTTCCGGATTTTCCAGTTCTGGATTTCTCCTGGGCAAAGGTCCCCAGCTGTCCTGGCAAGCTTCTCGATGGGAGAGTGCCTTCTGGCGGGGGCCCAGCTAGTGTCCTGCAGGCCAGCTCTGGGACCCTGGCCTGAGGACTGGGCAGGGGCTGGGCCTGGCCTGTCCGGTTCTGCCCTCCCACAGCCCCTTGACCAGCAGCTGGGTGCTCGGGAGGCCCAGTGTAGGCCCTTTGAGCCCTGCACGGGCGGGTGCTGCTTTGGCATTGGCCCAGGCAGGCGGGAGCCAGGCGATGACTGGCGGCCTTTGTCTCGCAGGGCTGGTACATCGTCACCTACGCTCTGGGCATTTACCACCTCAACCTCTTCATTGCATTCCTGTCCCCCAAGGTGGACCCGTCCTTGATGGAGGACTCAGGTAAGGAGAGGCTGGGGGTGGGGGGGTATCCGGGGCAGTGGGCTCTCTTGTGGTCTCCCCTGCAGTCGTGTTTCTGCAAAGAATTGAGAAGCAAGCGTGGGGTGGCGTCAGCCCTTTTTCTTTTGTTTTTGGGTCACACCTGGCCATGCACAGGGGTTCCTTCTAGCGGTGCTCAGGGGACCACATGGGGTGCTGGGAATTGAACCCTGGTTGGCCGCGTGCAAGGCAAATCCCCTACCTCCTGTGCTGTCACTCCAGGCCTGGTGTCAGCCCTTTAATGGCCATGTGTACTGGGCCCCATTTGGGGAGGGGACTGGGCTGGTGTCCTGGGAAAGGGGATGGGGCAGCAGGAGGCCCAGGGTCCTGTGCTGCTGCCCATAGCCGCTGCCTGGGACCCGGAGGCCACTTGGCGTTTCCGGGCTCTGCCACCCGCGGGGCAGACATGAGGAGTTCTGGGCTCTTCCTAGGACTGGGGTTGGGTGGGAGCAAGCGGGCGCAAACCCACAGGCGGCTACTGGCCCGGTGCAGAACGTTGTCTGAGTTTTCAGTGCAATTCTTGAGGGCATAGAAACTTCGTAAGGAGACCGCTAAGGGGGCTGAAGGCAGCGTGGGACCCCTGGGCAGGACTCGGGGAGCGCCAGGCCCCGGCAGACTGTGCTGTGCCCAATTCCAGACGAAGGCCCGTCCCTTCCCACCCGGCAGAACGAGGAGTTCCGGCCCTTCATCCGGAGGCTCCCGGAGTTTAAGTTCTGGTGAGCAGCTGTGGATGGGGGGGGGGGGGGGGGGCACAAGGCTTGGGGGTGGCTGGTCCTGAGCCTGAGGCTGTGGCAGGAACTCAGTAGGCCGGGGGAAGTCTCCCCCCCCCCTTGCTTGCTTTTCACCCTGACCCCACCTTGCTGTGCTGGGCTGTCTTGGCTGCTCAAAGTGGCACCTGGGAGGTTGTGGGGGGGCCGTCTGTTGCTCCATGCAGGGTGGGCAGGGCTGAGGCAAGCACCTCAGCCCGGTGCCCGCTCTGGCTGGTGCATGCTGCCTTAGGGGCCGCTTTTGGGGTGGTGGGGGCTCCCCAGGTACCGGGCTGCAGGTGGCTGACTGCGCCTCCCCGCAGGCACGCGGCGACCAAGGGCATCCTGGTGGCCATGGCCTGCACCTTCTTCGAGGCCTTCAATGTGCCGGTGTTCTGGCCCATCCTGGTGATGTACTTCATCATGCTTTTCTGCATCACCATGAAGAGACAGATCAAGGTAGAGCATGGGGGGTGGGGGCAGAGCTGCTGGGACAGGTGCCCACCTGGCCCATCCTGGTCACACCCACTGGGTGCTGGACAAAGCTTGAGCAGCAGCAGGGGTGCCGCCTACCCAGCCCTCCCCAGAGCATGGAGACACCTGTGGGGGGAGAGGCGGGCACTCGGTAGGGAGTAAAGTGACGTCTGTGTCTGTCTCTAGCACATGATCAAGTACCGGTACATCCCGTTCACGCACGGCAAGAGGACGTACAGGGGCAAGGAGGACGCGGGCAAGGCGTTCGCCAGCTAGACGAGGCACTGGGGCCCTGGACACCGCCTTTCTCTCCACTAAAGTAGTTGATTAGGAGGGAGTCGGATTTTCTCTTTAAGAAGGAGCTTCGATTAGGAATCACATTTATTCTCAGTGACGCTCAGGCTCGGCAGGCGGGGTGGGAAGGTGGGGGCTGGGGAAGGCAGTGAGCCCATGGGAAAGTCGGGCAGTGCCCACCCAGCCACCGGCCGCCTGCTGGAGGACCCTGCTGGAAGGCGTGCCCATGATGCGGACAGCCACTGTTGTAAGGACTCAAACTCTCCACCACCACAATTGCTGAGGGCCTGGGATTATAAATACATATTATATTTTAATTGTCTGACGTGGTTCGACACGTTTCTTTGACCCATGTGGAGTTTGCTTTTGAGCAGTTTGCTCCCGTTTCATGTACCAGCTTTCCACAGGACACAGACTGGTCTTGGCTCCCAGGGGATGTGACACTGCACTGGCCTGCATGCCAACTTTTTGATAAAATGAAATTCTTTCCAGCACTTAGTAACTTTTCAATTCCACCCCGATTAAAGAGTACCCCCATCTTGTGCGTCTTTCTCTGCATCACCAGTGCTCAGGGCAGGGCCCAGCAGGATATTCCCAATGTGCTGCCGGAGGTCAGCTGTGGTGATGCTGAGGCCACAGTGTACAGGTGCAGGCTGCGGGGCACTCAGCATACACAGATGGGGCAGGACCACCCCCCCCCCCACACACACACACTGCTCCATCAAGATTCCTGTTTCCACTAGGCCAGGCAGAGTTGTTCAGACTAAGGGGCTCTGGGGGTTGTACTCGGGCCCCAGTATCCCAGCGATACCACGACAAAGTGCATAGGTGGTTTAAGGAGGCCCAGGTTAATTTCCAGGTACTCCACAGCCCCCAAACCAAGCCTTATCATCTACAAGTCCCTGAAACTAAAGGGGCTCGGTGCGTGCGGACCAGAGGGGTGTGAGAGGCAACCCCTTTATTTCCCGCACCCCTGACTGAGGTGGGCGAGGTCATAAGCCAACTTGTCAGGCGGCAGGAAATCAGGAAGAAGCAAGTGTCCAGCCGGGTGGGCTTAGCCCCTAGGTGGCCCTTAGCGGTAGTGCCGTAGGTACACGAGCTTCTGGGGTGTGAACTTCTCCCGGCATAGGGGGCACTCCGCCTGGAGGAGGGAAAGAAGAGGGGCTCTGGAGTCACCAGGGACCTTGGGCCCCACCCTAAAGCCAGCCGGCTTCCTCTCCCCTGCACCCCACAAAGGTGGCTATGGACCTGGGAACTGCCAGGGAGTACAGGGCCTGAGGGAGTGGCTGAGGGAGCAGGCGCTGTCCCAGCCTGGGAGAGAGGCTGGGAGGCAGGTTCCGCGAGGCCCACCTTGGTGTCACACCACTGCGTGACGCACTCCCAGCAGAAGAGGTGGCCGCAGGGCGTGGCGGTGGCGTGGCGCCGCTCCTCCAGGCAGAGGGTGCACACGGAGCCCCGGGCAGCCACTCTGTCCTCGGGGTGGCTCCTGCGGGGCCCGGTGCGTCAGCATCCACCGCAGAGCCAGGGCCCGGAGCAGGGCGCGCCCGCCGTCCCCGCCACCCCGCACGCACCTGCGCTGTGAGCCTCTCCGGGCCAGCGGCCACTCCCTGCGGGCGCGCTGTCGCTGCCGGAGCCCATAGAGCTGCAGCCCCAGGGCTAGCACCAGGTGCAGCAGCGACAGCAGCCCCAGCAGACGGTAGCTCGCGCGGGCCCTCGGGTCCTCGGTGAGCAGGTGGGGCATGCGGAGCTGCCAGGAACCGGGAGACAGTCACCGGCCCGCCGCACCCCACTTCCCGCCCCCTCCCAGGGGTCTGGTGCGGGGGCACTCACGTAGGTCACTCCCGTGAGCCTCTTGGCCAGGTGGTAGAAGGCGCCTTGCAGGTAGAAGCAGGCCACGTGTAGGCGCTGCAGCCCGTCCAGGCCGCGCCGCAGCCCCGCCAGGGCCTGCAGGAGCAGTCTCCGGCGCGGCTCGGCCAGGCCGGCCGTGCAGCGCTGCAGCCAGCGAGCCCCCCGGCCGCGCCCGCCGGGCCCGGGGCCGCCCAGGGAGGCGCGGCGCGCGTCAGGCTGCAGCGCCCGTTCCAGCTGCTGCAGCGCCCGGCCCAGCAGGTAGGGCAGGACGCAGTGCAGCGCCACCAGCAGCCCGCGGCGCAGCGGCGACGGCACGCGGCGTCGCGATGGGTCCACCTGGACGATGCCCACGTACTCCTCCCCGAGCGTCTGGTAGCCTACGGGAGCGCGGACGGCTGGAGGGGGTGCCCGCGCCCCCCGTCCCCCGCCCGCCCGCTGCCGCCCCCAGCCCACCTGCGAGCGTGGTGAGGCCGAAGTAGGCCACGTCGGCGAGCAGCTCCAGCTCCCTTCGCCATTCCAGCCACCTCCTGGCCCCTACGAGGACACGGATCGGTGGGCGGTGCCGCCCGGGCCGGCCGCGGGGCTGCGCGCGGGCCGGAGCGCGCACCCACCCGCCAGGCCGTGCACGGCGCCGCCGGCCGCGCTGCGCAGCCCGCCGCGGTAGTGGTCGTCCTTCTGCGCCGCGCGGACCACCTCCGCGGGCCCGGCGGCGGCCAGCGCCATAGCCGCGCGCTGCCGGCGGCCACTGATGACGCTGCCGCGCCTGCCGCGCAGATTATGCGTCACTGCACGGGGCGGGGCCCCGTGGGCGGAACCCGGGTGTAATGGGCAGGGTCTGTGCTGAGGGCGGGGCTGAGGGCGGGGCCCTTGTGTTGTCTTGTGTCCTTGGTCCCTTCGTCTGCCGGGTCCATTTTCCAGCGCGTCTCTTGGGTGAGCCTCCATAGCCCATCTATTTTACGGACAGGGAAACCGAGGCTCTGTGACTTGGCTGCTGCCAATCTCATAGCAGCAGGCAGCCCCTGACCCACAACAGAGACCCCGTGAAGGCTGGGGCCAGTGGTGTGCCGGACAGACTTGCTGTGCTGAGACCTGGCCACCTCTGCCCAGTTCGGCTTTGCAGCCAGCTTTGGTGTCGCTCAGCGCCCCACCCCCAAGCCCGGGAGGTTTGGGCCTCAGATCTGGAGGCAGCCTGGCTGCATCCGCCGGCGGCTGTGCCAGAGGGGAGGCCGCGCTGCCAGTGGCGGCAGGACCGGGCACACCCGAGGGCCTGCTCTGGGGGCATGGGATAGCGGCCAAGCGGGCCAGGTCGGGTGCCGAGTTTGACGCCAACCAGCAGGTGGCGCCATCAACCCGTTCGCACACCCTGGTCGCAAGTAGAAGGAGTTTGAGAGTGACCCCAAAGAGTGGCCCTCCTGCTGGGGTACTCCCTGGTGTGGGCCTGTGTGGAAATGCCAGGCTGGTCGTGGTCCCAGCTCACCTGCCCACCCTCCCTTCTGGGGCACACGCCTGGATCTGGCCATGGGGACGGATTTAGGTTTGGGTTTGGGGCACACCCAGGGATGCTCAGGGCTTCCTCCTGGCTCTGCGCTCTGGAGTCATTTCTGGTGGTGCTGAAGAGAGCGAACCTGTGCGGAGTTCCAGGGCCAGTGCCACCTCCCGAGTGGCTGCAGTCTTGGCAGTGGCCACAGCCTCTCTCCTGCACCGCAGGGCCAGAATCACCCTGTCTGGCCTCTCCTTTGGCCAGAAGGTGGGGACAGAGGGACAGCACTGGAACCATCTAGGTTCTGCCTCCGGGCAAGCTGTCCCTCTAGGTCACTCCTAATGGATTAGCTGCTCTGTCCTAGCTGCAGGGTCCAGGCCTGAGCAGAGGGACACCTGTGCTCTGTGGTGGCCAGTGCTACCCAGGTGGGCGCGTGGTCGCTCTTCACCTTCCCTGCAGCAGTCCTGGGCGGATGGGAGAGTCCAGTCTGTCTGCTCAGGGCACTCCTGATGGACGCAGTGCAGACGCCAGGCTTGTGGACTCAGGCTGGAGCCATCACCTCATCCGCTGCTGGCCACATGGTGGCCTGGGGATGGTCATATCTAGGAGGGATGAGGGCAGGGTAGGTACCCCGAGCAGGAAGGCACAATTCCTGGCAGGACAGGTGTCCGGAAGGAGCCAGGTCGGGGGGGGGGTGTCTCTGGGGTTGGAGTGGGCATAGGGCCCCTGTGAACGAACTCAGACATCCAGGCTTGGGGAGGCCGCCAGGGTGAGAACAGGACCAGGGTGGGCAGGTCCAGAGGGATGTGGCCACTGTAACCTTCTTCAGGACACATGGGGTACCCTCGTGTGTGTTGCTGCTATCCTTAGCTAACCTGGTTGGTGACCAAGGGCTGGACACAAGGAAGAGGCAATCCAGGAGGACTTTTTAAAGCAGGGACCACAGAGGAGAGGACTCGAGGACAGGAGGAATAATACCTCACAGGGAAGAGCTGGTGAGATCCCTGTGGACAGGTGCTTGTGGACGGGGTACACATCTGCTGTGGGTAGGGGTAGTGGCTGGTTGCTGGGGTCTTTGCACAGACCACTGAGGGGGCCCCTCTGCAGTGGGTGTGCCCCTCCTTCCACTCCGCCCTCAGACCCTCCTCATGCACTCTTGGTCGCACAGAAGAGCTGGGTCATTCTGTTCTGTCTAGGGCCTGGGACTGAGCCCCACTGCCCGTGAGAACATGGAGGCTGGGCACACAGCATGCCAGAGCCTTCCCCTACTGCAGTCAGCAGGGGCACCTGAGAGGTGTGGGGCCTTCTCCCCCTTCGGTGGAACAGGGGCTTCTTCTGGGACATGTGGAAAGAGGCCCCGGCCTTGGGGACCCCAGGCTCCTAGGGCCTGTGTCTACACCAAGGGCGACTGCCCTGCCAGCTCTGCACCCCACCTTCCAAGGAGGAAGCGGGCTCAGAGGCATCACGGCATCTAGGAGGTAGACCCCAACATTCCCGCCACCTCTTCTCCAGGCTGGACACCCCCTGTGGCTCAGGACTTAGATGGCCTGACTTCCTGTGGACCCTAAAATCAAACTGCCCTTTGCCCCACGCTCCTCCTCCAGCCCGCCCTGCCCCGCCCCTCCTGGTGCCTCCCATTCCTGCCGGGCTCCGCCCATCCTGCTGGGCTCCGCCCCATCCTTCCTGGCCCCGCCCATCCTGTCTGGCCCCGCCCGTCCTACCTGGCTCCACCCCATTCTGCTTGGCTCCGCCCATCTCACTTGGCCCCCACCATCCTGCCTGGGCCCCCCCATCCTGACTGGCTCCGCCCCATCCTGTCTGGCTCCGCCCCATTCTGCCTGGCTCTGCTCCTCCTGCCAGGCCCTGCCCGCTTCTTGGGAGTTCAGCTTGCACCCGCGACCCGATTCTGGCTTTTCAGATTTCGGGGTGTCCTGTAGTTTCAGGCCCCCAAGCGGGGTACAGACGCTGGAGAACCGGCCTCTGGACAGGCGGTGAGGGGGCTGTTGAAGTCAGCAGAGGAGCTAGAGCTCCTGTAACTCAGAGCCGGTTGTTACAGAAGCCTTTATTAAAATCCAATTAAACTAATTAAGTTATGTAAAACACATTATACAAAATACAAAGTAAAACATTCAAGGCTTGCTCCTTGCAGATGCCGTCATCCGCAATCTGCCCGGGGCAGGCGCACGCACCCTGCCCGCAGGCTCCTGCAGGGCCTGCACCTCCCATCACGTGTGCCAACCTAGCGTTTGCCAAGGAGTCGCTGCCACAAGGGTACCTGGTTTGGCATGGCCACGCAGGTTTGTCCAGCAGCCACTGGGAAGGTGGGTCCGGCCCCGCCCCGCACTGCTGGATGGGACCCCGGACCCAAAATAAATAAATGACATTTTAAAAACTGAGCCCTTAAACTATTTATTCTTGCAGCCGCTCAGGAACAGAGACAGTAAATAATGACTCGTGAGTATAAATAGCGTCTGATGGAAAATCACTATTTGCATCCGAATAGAGTCCCTGAGTGGAGCAACAGTTCCAGACAGCTCTTGACTCCCGCCCAGCACCCGTGGGCGCCGCCTCACTTCGCCCCTGCGAGTCATCTTCCCTCCCTCGTCTTCCGGAGTTCCACCCTGTCCCGCAGGGCCTGCCCACAGCCCTCTCCGACCCCGCCCACCCACCCCACTTCTCACCCTCAAGTCACCCACGCCACTGGCCCTGCCCACTATGGCCCCGCCCACCAGGTCACTCCCCGGCTTCCCCTCCTCCAACGGCAGCCACGCCCCGCCCCCACAGCCCCCAGTGGCCTTTCCCACCAGAACGCACGTGCTGCTTGGGGTACCTCTCCTGGAAGCCTGCGGGGCATGTGGCCACCCCTGGCTGGTCTGAGGGGCTCTGGGATGAGGGCTGCTGCAGCTTTCCTAGAGCCCGGGGTGGACCTTAGGGTTCCCCATTGCTGGCTCTGCCCAGGCTTGGCATCCAGTGCCGGCCAGTGCAGGTGTTCGCCCTGGTAACTGCACTGGGCACCCCCTCCCAGGACTCACCCTGCCTCTGGCTCCCCGTTGGGCTCCTAGGAGCCCTCCACCTTTTGCCTGACCCTGGAGAGCCCTAGCCTGCAGCATTCCCCCTCCTCCAGGGCATGTGTCCTCCCCCCCAACCCCTGCACCTTCCCCTGCAGGCCTGTGACCACACTGAGCCTCGGGCTGCTCTGGCTGAAGCCTGTGTCTAGCTCTGGGTCAGGTCTGGTGGACAGGGCGCTGGCGGACAGCGTGGATGGCCCCTCTGGCTTGTGTGCAGCCTTGCCCTGGCCAGCTCTGGGCTGCCCATCCCCGTGTCAGTGGGGGCCTGGCCAGGGCCTGCGTCTGCCCTGCTGCTCTTGTCGCTGAGTCTGGAGTAGAGACGAGGGGTTGGGCACTCTGCGCCCTGACCACCCCATGCCCCCTGGTGGGGCAAACATCGGAGACCCCGGCAGGGAGGGACGGAAGCCACACTGGGGCTCTCTGCGCGGGTCCGGGCTGGCGGGTTCCAAGCAGAGGCCGGTTCCTGTCCTTGGTCTGGGCCTGTGGCCCCCAGCCTTCGCCCCTCACCTTGCCTCCGACCCTCTACTCTGCTGGGCCCAGGAGGTGCAGGGCAGTGAGGCTGGGTTGGGGGAACCAGAGAGGGGGCTGGTGAGCCCCCGCTGTGGCCCTGCTGCTCCACGCACTGCCCTTGTGCCCCCATGAGGGGCCACCCAGGAAGCAAGGGCCTTTCATGGTTCCCCAATGTCTGGGCAGCGAGTTCGGGCTGTCCAGGAGACTGGCACCGTGGGGCAGGCGTCGGGTTCCCGGGGCTGGACTTTGATACCTGGAGTCCACTTCTGGGCTCTGCTGATGTGCCCCCACCCCGCTCAGCCAGTGTGACAGCTGTGGCTGTGTGAGGGTCAGCACAAGGGGCCTGAGGCTGGAGGGTGGGAGGACCCTGCCTGCCCACCTGGGCACTGGAGGCCCTGGAACCCAGTTCCACCAGCACACCTCCCACCCGACTGCCTTACGCCTATCTGTCCAGGCAGCTCAGCCAGAGGGTGGGCACTGAAGAGGGGGCAGCAGGAGTGAGGCAGGCTGAGCAGCTGACAGGGCCCCGTGCCTGCCCAGTGCTTGGGGCTGGTGGCCACTGCCCTCCGGAGCCCCGGAATGGACCTCCGGTGTTCGCAGATGGAGGCGTGACTCTCCAGGTCAGCTCTGGCCAGGGGCTGCGGGCTGTCCATCACGGCGGGCACACTGTGGAGAGGAGCTTGGAGCCGCCACCCTGTCCCACAG